TGAAATTATCAAGAAAAGGGGTAAAAAATGTTACAGAAATATTTTTTTCCACATTTTTGATATTGCAGTATGGAACTCATATGTTGTCTACCGTAAAAACGGAGGAAAATGTACGCAACTGGAATTTAGACTTGATCTCGTTGACCGTATAATTGAAATATATCATTTGGGACAAAATTTCCGACGTGGACGACCAGGTTCGGAGTCTAATCCTCTGAGATTGACAGAGAGACATTTTTTGGAAATAATTGTTCCCACAGATAAGAAAATGAGACCTGCAAGACAATGCACAGTGTGCTGTTCTAAAAGAAATGAGAATGGAAAAAGAATACGAAAAGAAACAAGGTATTTCTGCCCTGATTGCGACGTAGGACTCTGCATTACACCATGCTTCAAATTATACCATACACAAAAAGACTTCTGAACTGTTTGGAAAAATATAAACTTCAAAATTCACAGTAAGTATGAGAGAAATTTTTATAGAAATTGTAAACCATTCTTCACTGCATGCAAAATGTACTTGAAAAAAGACATCTAGCAAAAAGCATTTAGGGGTTTTTGTTTTCCAAAATTGTAAAATAAAAAATGTTGTAAAACCATTAAAAGTGAAAAAAAACATTAAAAACTCTTATTATTCTTATTCTATTAAGTATGGTACTTAATTATATGCAATAAAAAATATGCTTTTTTTGGGAGCAATTCTGGTAAAAAAAATGACCGCTTAAAGGGTTAAAATCTCGCATTATGATAAAAGACTCAGGTACCTGTGCCACAAGATAATTTAAATCCTGCTGATCAATGTGCTCACTTGGAGGCAAATAAACAGAAACCACTGAGATCGTGATATGAATACAGTCAAAAGTCGTTAATTCAGACACCTATAATCCGGACCTCAAAGCTACAAATTTTCTGCACATGCATCGCGCTTATGCATGCGTGTAAGACCTTTACGGCTGCGAACATGCGTGCGCGCAAAATACGTTTACGAATGCGCGTTTAATGTATAATAGACGGTATAAGCTAAGCTAAAATTATCTAATTCAGTTTATGTTGCAGATTGTGTTGCTCCTTAATCTTCGAATTGGATTTGGCTTATTATTTTTTGCAGACTAGAGCAATTTTATAAAAGTAAGCTTGAACTTTTGATTATGTCAAATAGAATTTCTGATTTATTAATATTTACTAATATGTAAAGGATCTACAAAGCGAAAGTATTTTTCGAAGTCCATTAAACAAAAAGTGGAATTGCTGCAAAAAATGGATAAAGGAATCCTTTGTTTATCTAAACTTTGTTTATCTTTAACGCCGCTGCGCGCAATGAATTGGAAGTTGATCTGTCAGCACTATCCTTATCTTCAGGGCAGATGTTTTTATTTTATTTGGCTTATAATTCCTTACTAAATGTAGTATTTCATCTCAATGTACTCCGTCTTTGATATGATTTAAATCAAATTCCTCGTCATTATAATTCGCTTCCGATAGCGAAGAGTAACAGAGGTTATTGAAAACGAAAAAATTTCGATTGACAAAGTAGTCGGTATTCTCGACACAGCAATTATAGGACTTGAACAGCGGAACTTTGTAACTGAACAAGAAATTATGTCTGTTTATAAAATTAAAGAGAACATATTATCACATAAAAAACGAAGCAACTTAAACAACTTACATTGAAAGAAATGTTTAATAAAGTAAACAAATAAATATTAAGCTTTTTTTTTTTGTAAATTTTGATACCCTTTAGATCATAATTGCTCTTTATTTCATAAATTACGGTTTCATATTTTTAATTTTATAATTTCTGCATGCCATCTTACCAGATTTAAACTGATGATCTATAATCCATAAAAACCGATAATCCGGAATCGCCGAAGTCCCGACGAGTCCGGATTAAAGACTTTTGAGTGTATTTATCAAGATATTGGGAAGCTCATGAGAGGACCTAAATAAATAGTCATTGACATGCAGGCACCTTTTTGCTAGTTGCCCACTATTCACCACAACACAAGAGGTATCTAATACCATTAAGAAGTTCAATTTACACAGTGAAGAATGAAACTTTCATTGAGATGGCAGGACGATCTCATAAAGATCTATGTGAATGGTTGATGATCTGAATAAGATACCAGCAACTTTTTCCAAGTTAACTATCATTTGTCATGACAGAAGAGATGTCCTACACCATTATGAAAATCAGTTTACACCATGAAAAATACAACCTACAGCAAGGTACATGGAAGCCCATGTGAAAATTTAAATGTATAGTTGCCAACTTGTATAAAGAAGCCGAAATTGTCGAGTTATGAAAATTTCCCACTTTTATGTTAAAGAATAAAAAATTAGATCAATCAGTTGTAAATTTGAAACAAGCTACAAACAATGAGTATAACATTTACCATTTTATCTTTTGAGTTTATTATTTGTTTTCTTTTGCATCTACCTTGCAGTTATGATTAATATTTCATCCATTTTTAACCAATCATTGACAAGGTGGACTTAACAACCATCAGGGCTTCGGGAAATTTTCATGTTTCCCAATAATTCCCTGTGGAAATTAGAAATTCTTTTTAATGACAATAAAAAAATAAAGTTTTAACTTTGATAACTATAAGGGGTGTTCAAATAAAAAGCTGCGGAATGACACTGTGAGTATAATCAAAGTCTTTATTCACAAGTAGTTACCAGAGGCCTGAGCACAACTATCCCAATGTTTCATGAGCCAAAGGTTTCCCCTGTTCCCAGAATTCCTATGACTGTGACAAGAGCTGGTCCTCCACTGTGTCCTTTTTGTTGTTGTCCGAGTTGAAGCACTTCCTTTCGAGATCTTTGTTTAGTAGGCCAAACACATGGAAGTTGCAGGTGATATGTCTAGGCTATAGGCAGGTGCTTAAGCTACTCCCACTTGAATTTGGACTTTATGTGACCTTGGAGCCATTTGGAAGCACACTATCATGGAGTAGAATCGCTTCCTCCGTCAGCAGCTAGGACCACTTGCTCTTGATGGACTTGAACAGGCTACGGAAAGTCTCACAGTACATGTCACAGTTAATGGTTTTTTTCGTGCTCGAGGAATTTGATAAGGATCAGACATCGGTTGCCAAAAAAGATGGTGAGCATCACCTTGCTTGCTGAGAGCACAGCTTTGAAATTTTCAAGGGGAGTGACGATGCATGCTTCCATTGCATGCTATCCCACCTTGTTTCTGGCTTGAAGTGTTTGCTAAAGCTCTTGTCACCGGCAACAATCTGCTCCAGGAAAGTGGGATCTTCATGATACCGGAACAGGTGTTGTAGTGCTAGAACTTTTTCGCCTAGATCACAGTTCTTTTTGCTGTTCACTGAGTTTCTTCAGAACCCAATGCGTGCACACCTTCCAGTAACACAATCTGTCGTGCATGATTGTCCACTCTAAACATTCCCGGTTTTCACGAAAATGGGCACTCCACTTTTGCACTGACTTGGCAAAACACAGTCTTCCCCATATACACCCACCATCCAGCAATGAATATCAGCCGGTTTAACCCTTTCCACAGTCCGAAACCTAATAACCACTTGGTGCTCCTCAGTCATTGAATTTTGCAATGTGAATGCTATGTCTTCACATGCACTGCCATGTCAACTGGACAGAACACACAACTGTCTGCTTCTCTCTACATCATATGCAATGCCTGCACATGCATGCTGGACACTATACTTGTGTCCATAGATGTCTATGTTATCCTAAAATGGTATATTCAAATTTCAACCAGATTGGTTGTCACGATATTTCATACTTTTCTTCTGAACACCCTTTAATAATAATAAATTTAAAAAACTAATACGATGGATTAAATTAAAAAAATTAAGCAAGAACACAATTTGCTATCTTAACTCAACTAAAGTTTTCCATAACCTAATTCTTTCTCTCTTCCCCCGTTATGTAAAAAAAAAAAAAAAAAAGTATGAACAACATCTTACTTCAAACAAATATGTCTTAGACTTTCACTTTAGGTCAGATTTCTCATTATCCACAGTGTAATTCCTTACCTTGCAGGTGCTTGAAAGTGACATAGAGGAATCTCAGTTAGTCAGTAGAAAAACTGCTTTAATGATACACTTGCTTTTCTTTTGCATTATATTCTCCATTCATAGGTTAGGTTATTTGAATACGGCATAGACACAAGGGTTATCTGAATAATACGAGGGTTGTGGAGGACTTTATACACACGGGGAAAACCACAAAACCAACTATGCAGCTAGCCCATTCAACAGAGACAAATCAAGCCAGGTCGAATATCAGTATTTAGCGTCTCCATTCATTGACCCCATGAAAAAGGAAAATAAATTTTTGGTTGTCCAGAGGTCCAGACGCTGTATGTCTAGATTTTATATGTTCTACTGTACATATAAAGAACTTTTAAAAATTATAAGTTATTATTATTTTTCCAATTAAAAAAACCGTCAAACTGCAACAAGGTGGTTGCGCTAAGTAAGAACTAAATTTCTTTTAAAACTTATTATGTATAGGGGGAAAACAATAAAACATTAATTAAACACATACTAGATTTAATTAAATTTAAATCATAGCAAATTACATGAGGGCTATTCTGCTATAAAGAAAAGGATGACTATGGGAAGGATTTCTCAAGGGAAACTGGTTCATACTCATAATACACACAGGGAAAACAAAATAAATTCTATGCATCTGTGTCCACAACCATTTGAATTTGGATCAAACAACTACCATTCAGTAGTATTACACCTTGACCACTGGTGAGCACATCCATTGTGGTGGGTATATGATTGAAATTCTGAAAATCTTCAAATGAAACACTATTATTACTCCTCAGTCAATTTCAAGTATAGAAGATTTACTTTTTTTTTTTTTTTTTTTTTAACTCTGCATTAATTTTTCAGGCAGTTGCTATAAGATCTATACATATTTAACTACAGAATTTATAATGGCTTCTAAAAACTGAATTTAAAGGCAATTAAAAAATGCACTGAAAATTAAAAAATGCTTACCTCAAACATTTTCTCTTGAATGATTTGCTCCTTTCAACAACCAAAATGTAATCATAAAGTTCATTCCACCAGTTTCAGAATTCTATAAAAGGAATTTTTCTTGGCATTAAAGATTAATTACTTGCATAAACATTTTAGATCATATTGACAACGTAAAAACAACATATAAATTTTAAACATAAAAATCAAATTTAGATATCAGTAACAATCAGAGTGTCAATGATTTTAATCAGATGATTACACTCAATGATTTAAAACTTGATTTTAGTTGACAGATTAAAAACAAAAAAGGGGGGATAAAACAGATACAGTCAAAAGTCGTTAATTCGGACACCCATAATCCAGAATGATCTATAATCAGGACCTCAAAGCTAAAAATTTTCTGCGCATGCGCCGCGTTGACACATGCGCATAGGCATTTACGCGTGCGCGTTAAGACCTTTTACATCTGCGCATATGCGTGTGCGCAAGCGCAGAATACGTTTTCGTGTGCGCGTTTTATGTATAACAGACGGTATAAGCTAAAATTATCCAATTATCTATTTCAGTTAATGTTGATGACTGCGTTGTTCCTTAATTTTTGAATTGGATCCGGCTTATTATTTTTTGCAGACTGTAAGAGCAATACTATAAAAGTAAACTTGAACTTTCGATTATGTCAAATAGAATTTCCAATTCTGGAGCTCCCAAAGGATCGTACAAAACGAAAGTATGTTTCAATGTCCATCAAACAAAAAGTGGAATTGCTGCAAAAAATGGATAAAGACATGAAGAATGTGACAGAGAGGTTAGTGAAAACGAAAAAATTTCGATTGACAAGTTAGTCGGTATTCTTGGCACAGCAATTAAGGGGACTTGAACAGCAGAACTTTGTAACACAAGAAATTATGTCTGTTTATAGAATTAATGAGAAAGTATTATCACATAATACAAAGCAACTTAAACAACTTACATTGAAAGAAATGTTTAATAAAGTAAATAAATAAATATTAAGTTTTTTTTTTTTTTTTTTTTTTTTTTTGTAAATTTTGATACCCTTTAGATCATAATTGTTCTTTATTTCATAAATTACGTTTTCATATTTTTAATTTTAGAATTTCTGCATGCCATCTTACGAGATTTAAACTGATGATCTATAATCTGGAAATATCGATAATCCGGAATCGCCGAAGTCCCAACGAGTCCGGATTAACGACTTTTGACTGTATTCTACATTTTTTTTTTAAATCATGGAAAATGTATTACAATCTAAGAGAACCTGTGGTGTGTGGTGCTTTTAAAGAGATTTTAATGACTGAATACAAAAAATAAAAACTTCTTAAAGAAGTAAAATTATTTCAAATATCTTTGACAAGCTATGCTGAGACACTGCAAGAGTTTGTGTCACTTTGTAAAGTTCAACTTAATCCATCATCTTATAATTTTGAAATGTACTATCACTTCTATTTTTCGTTAGCTCTCCCCAATACGTAAATGAGTTCTGTATGTATAAGAATTGAGTTTCTGAATGTTAGACAAACAGTTTTGGCTGCACACTACAATATTTTCTTGCTGAGCTCCAAGACTTACGTTAGCCTTTTTGCTAACCAAATCAAACCATGCCTTTAGTTAAAACTGAGCTGACAATTACCAGGCTTTTGCACTGTGAATTTCCTGTGGCATTGAATATGTCAGGGCATGGCCAGGCATAATTAATGCTTTTTTTTAGCAGGAACATGATTATGACAAGCATGTATAATCAATTTCAAAGGCTAATCCTATCACTGGTCTCCATTTACTAAGAAACATTTGCAACATTACCAGTCAGGCACTGATTATTTTGTCCAACATTACCAGTCCTAATCCTGCTAATTTTTTTTTTTTTTTTTATGACAAGGTCATGATAGAACACAATTTTCCCATCCTAGGGTAATATCATAAAAAAAGGGCATATTTACCTGTACAGAAATCTCTCTAAAGACTAATTTTATCAATCATATATTTATGCAAGATTTTACATATCTATCTATATGAATTTTGTATCATGTAACACGAAATGTCTGAAGAAATGTGAAGCTTGATTGCCTAATGGACTACCAAGACATTTTGGGGGGCCGCCTTTTTACTACGACCTAAGACGTGCATACTAAGAGAAACATATTTACGGAACACCAGTACCAGCTAGACTGCAGAATCAGTTTTTCACAATCGATGCGAGCGTGTTTACTTAAGCAAATGATTTGATGAATGTGTAGACAACACATGTACCTTCACTGGAATGACGCTTAATAGCATACATTGGCTACAGATTCATGGGTTCACATATGCTCGCTGCATCAAATAACTCCACGCTTCATGATCTAGCAGTCGCTAAAGTTCTTCAAACATTTTAACTTGACAATTTTGTGTTACTTGTGTTTTTGTAGTAGTAATAATAATCTGTCATATTTTGAAAGAGCAGTAAACTGCCAAAAACAAATATTAAGAAAAGAAAAACAATTTTAATACAGAATGGGAAGAACAGTTTTTCTTTACAATGGTGAATGCAAAATGTGTGTACTATATGTCACTTCCAAAAAAAGGAAACATTGAAAGGCATTCCAAAAGCATGCATGGAAGTTCTGATTTTCTGTTAAAAAGCGAATTACACAAACAAAAGTTAAAAGAATTTAAACTACAATCATATTTCATTCAACCCAATACTAAGGCTGAAACAGTTGCATCTCTTCATATCAATTCATGTGTTAGCAAAACATAAGAAACCTTTTGCAGATGGAGAAATGATAGAAGAAGCATTTCTGAAAACAGCAATTCATTATTTGATTCATTCAAGAACAAAAATGAAATTATTTCCCCAATTAAAGATGCACAACTTTCATGTAGAACTGTCATGCACCAGATAAAAATGGTGAATTCTGATCTGGCTGATAAGCTGACCAAAGATACTACTAACAATATTTGCTTTTCCTCACAGTTTGACGAATCTACAGACATGGTTGATATTTCTCAACTTTGCATTTATAAGAATGGTTTATAAGGATATGAGCCTAAAAGAAGAATTATTAACAATATTACCTCTAAAGAAGAAAACACGAGGTGAAGATGTTTACTGTGCCTTCAAAAAATACATACAGGAGAAAAAAATTCTAATTTATAAAGTTCTATTGAAGGGAATTGATGCCCCCCCCCATCAATGGATTTCTGGCTATGTGTATCAAAGACGATCACATTCCGCATTTCCTTTCTTATCATTGCATTATTCACCAACAGGCCTTCTGTTGTAAAATTCTAAATATGCGTCATGTTATAGGAGTCGGAATGAAAATTATGAACTAAATTTGAGGAAGAAGTCTTCAGAGTCCAACTAAAAGAATATGAAACTGATTATGGGGAATTGTTATATCATGCAGATGTTCACTGGTTTAGTCGGAGTATATTTTTGCAAAGATTCAGGGACCTATTACAAGTGGTAAAGATTTTTTGGAATCAAACGATAAAGCATATGTTGAATTTAATGAGGACGTTTGGTTGATGGATTAACTTTTGTTGTTGATATAACATGGCATCTTAATGAATTGAATTTACAATACAAGGAAAAAAAAATCGAACAATACTATAATTAATTGGATTTGTTATTACTTTCAAAAACAAGTTAAAGCTAATATCTTCCCAGTTGATAAAGAATGAACTACAAAAATATTTCTAATGAGTTGTTTAAAACTGGAGGTGCATTAAACAAAGAGAAATATTATGATGAAATAATAAAACTAGACTCCAAATTTGAGAGATGTTTTCAAGAATTTACTAGACCAGAACCAATTGTTACATTCATGTGTTACCTATTTGGCACTGTTGATGTGAAAGAAATAACTGAAAATATAAATTATATATTCTCTCTACCACTTGAGGAAAACAAAGTTTTTCTCCTTCAAACTGACACAATTTTAAAAGCACATAGTTCAGAACCTATGAATAACTTTTGGGATATCATAGACATTCTAACTTAAAAAAAAAAGTTGCATTTCATTTAAAATAGTTCTTTGGCTCTACCACCTGTGTGAATCTACATTTTCAATGATAAATATAATTAAAACAACATATTGTTTCTGTCTCACAGACGACCACTTAGAATCCAGTGCAAGATTAGCAGTTACTAATTATATACCGAGATATTCAAGATTAGCGGACAGTATTCAGATTAAGTCCTCTAGTAACTATAACTATGAGAAATAACTTTAGATGAAAATGATTTATTTTTCAATGTATTTTGAATTGCTTGACAAGAAATGCATCATTTGAAATTATTATATTTGTGGCTATTACAGTACAAAGTCCGTAATCCGGACGTTCATTATCTGGAATGATCTATAATCTCGACCTCAAAGCCACAAACTTTACGCATGCGCGTAGAGAATGTGCATACATTACGCATGCGTGCATTGAAAGAAATGTTTAATGAAGTAAACAAATAAATATTAAGTTTTTTTTTTTTGTAAAATTTGACACCCTTCAGATCAGAATTGCTTTTTATTTCATAAATTACGGTTTCACATTTTTAACAGTATAATTTCTGCATGCCATCTTACCATATTTAAATTGATGATCTATAATCCGGAAAAACCCCTAATCTGGAATCGCCAAAGTCCTGACGAGTCCAGATTATGGACTTTGTACTGTATTATGTTTATATCTTGCGTTTTGCTTTAAAAACGTGGTTTTAAAAGAGTAAGTTTTTTTTTTTTTTTTTTTTTTTTTTTTTTTTAAGTAGGGTTAGGTAGATAAATACATATTCCTTTCTTATTATTAAGTTATAATAAATATTGTAGACCTTTTTTTAGCTCAGCACACATGTGCCACTGGGTGGACCGTAACACCTAGAAAAAATTTAGAAGTAGCCCGTACCCTGGAATAGTCTGCCCACCCCTGGGTTAGAGTATTTGTAGCAGTCAGGTGGAGCACAAATTTTAAGTTTGCATTAAAAGCCTTTTGGTTTGTTGATGATCAAAACTTCTTTTCCATCTGTTTTTCTGGTAGGTAATATGCTGATGAATATCGGTTTCAATTAATTGGCTTTAAAATCATTTTCATGTGATACTGAAATTA